TTCTTGGAATCGCGCCAAGAATTTCATTTTTCCGTTCAAGTTTATCATTGCAGCGTTAATCTAAAAGATTATAACAGGTTTAGATTATATAATGCATATTTTTTAATATAATGAGAAACGTGTACCCGATCTTGTTATGGAACACATCATTAAAGTGAAATAACCCAAACGGCGAACAGTATAGTAATTTTGATTTTGTAAACGATATATGGAGGAATTTTTAAGGTCGACCGGATGAGGTGTTTTAAATTTGAAGGAAATTATAATATTATCATATTGTATAGCACAGAGATCGGTAATTAATTCATCTGAAATTTTGGTCATTACATTTATACTTATACCTATAATTCGATACTCGTATTCAATAGCAAATTATTGTGTCATTATCGAGTGTAACATAATTATATTATTATTATTATTTATAGCCGTCCATCATAATATTATATTACTATTATAATACCTAGTTGATAACTACTGATAGTGAACCCCGCATGACGTCACTGGTGACAAATAAAATGTCTAAGGGTCACATGGATTGACCCCTACTTCACTGTTTTATTTGTTGTAATCACTGACAAGGTGGCAACCTCATACTTATGAACAAAAAAATTATTCGTTTTTTTGTGAGTCAACAAATCCCTGCGTGAAAAGCTTTTTAAAATAAAAAATGAAAACAATTGTCTTTGAATTTCAGATTTATGGATCTCTATTGGATTACTTATGTGCGATCCAAATTTCAGAATCATTAGTGCGATTGACTGAGCTGTGGATCTCCTGGTTCATAGCTACATTCGTGTCGAATCGATCAAATCACATTTTAATTTGACGTTATTGTTTTACCTCATTAAGTATAACAATAATTGACTACATCTTAGTTTTTAAACCATATCGGTTACTAGATGTAAGTTGTAATCATATTGGTTAACCAGTTGTAACCATAGTTAACATGCCCACGTTCGTGCACGACACGAGACAGCTGGTTTAATCCGACCAACACACACATAAACAATGCCTTCTATGTGACTACTGACTATGTATATACTATATAGATAGATAAGCAGATAAAGTAACGATGAATGATGATGACCATAATAGCAATGAGTGTAACAAAAGAAATTGTTGAATGGATTTCAGATAGACCAACAGCAAAAAGACCTTTATAATATTCGTGTCAATATGATACGTAGGTAGGTGATTTTCACGGTTCTAGACGTAGAATTCTCGATAACTAATATTGGAACATCGAGAAAATACTTTTTAAATTTTCTTTTTTTATAAAATGATACAAAATATGCAATATTTTATGCATACACAAATAATTTTTTACGTTATATTATATATTTTAGTAAAGACAAAACAAATATTAATACGCTTGAAAAAAATTTCAATTTGGTATTAAAAATTAGTAAAATTATAGTTATTCTACATCTTGGCATTCTGTATTTTTTTTGTTTGACCAATTTAAGCACTATCATGATACTGTATTTCTGTCATTACTGTTAAATAAAATGGTTGTAAGGTATAACTTATAGTAAAATTTAATAATATTTTTTGAATATTTACGAATAAAAAATAAATTATAATTTTATAAAACATTTAAAACGCCCGTGAACGAGTTAGAATCTCAGAAGTATTTTATACTGGAAAACGCGAGTTGGGTCCCGAGATATTTGATCCCTTAAAAAAAACACGAGTTGGGTCCGCGGTATTATTTGATAATACTCGAATTGGGTCCACGGTAATATTGTCAGTGCCGGTGGAAGGCGTGTGCGACCGGCACTGAATATATTGTATATTATTTTAATAAGACATATAACACGATGCAATCGATGATAGACGATGTCCATCTAATAATGTATATATATATATGACGCAACTAGGCTAGTCTCAACTCATGTACTTCATAAAATCAATGGTGAGCATTAACTTGTTAAAAAGTTATTTATTTTTTTTTACTTTTTAACTTAACTAGTTAGTTATTTTTGTTTTTAACTTATAAACTTATTCAGTTAAATTGTGTATTGTTTTAACTGAAGCTTTTTATAGTTGATTATCATTATTGTATCGATGTTTTTATGTATAGATGTGGCTTATAACTTTCTAGTAAATAGTAATAATGTAGTACCTATGTCCTATAATAATAATTTTAAGTTTTATGTTTACAGCAGTAAAGTTTAACTTGGTAAATGTTTATACAAACCAAAATACTCATGCAATTTATAATTATGAATATTACTATGACTTGGAAAAAAAATTAGTAACATTTTTTACTGAGTTAGGTTTATTTTATTTTATATCTTAACTTTAATTTTAATTTATTTTAGTTAATTATTTTTATTAACTTGCCAACTTTTGCATAAAATATACCAGGACCCAACTCATTTACTCCAAAAAATATACCGGGACCCAACTCATGTACCTCAAAAAATATACTTGGACCCATCTAATGTACTCCATGAAGTGTAACGGGATCCAACTCGTGTTGCTTTTGAAATCTGGAACCGAACTCGAGTTTGTCCTTTTATAGTCGGTGCTTCGTTTTTTTTTAATACTGCGAGGATACCAGCTGAACACGCCAATTAATATTCTCTTCTGAAAGATTAATTTCGTTAAATTTTCATTCCACCTAAGTACGTAATATGATGTATTTTAATCGTTAATATCATGTTATATATTTCAAATATCGTATAATATTATGTTACATATCTTATAAATAACAAAAGACAGCATGTGAATGACTTAGAAGCTTTACAATAAATGGCAATGAAAATAAAATAAACGACCTTATTGTAATATTAGTCCACTTTTTATGATATACATAAGATAACACTGTACGTATAATTTGAACATTTCTTATGGGTAATCTACTGCAGTGTACAATGAGAAACTGTCAATAGTTGTCCTAAAATATTTTGGCGTGTGTGACCTCAGAAGCGAATTTTAATTATCTTCGATAATGTAATATTTTTATATTCATTAGCTTACGATATTTTAGTATTTTAATATAGAAATGCGTTAATAATTTAATATTCTTACTAGGTGAGCAATGCTACTGATGAGATTTGGAGGCCGCAAAAATTTAACTCACGGCGCAAGTGTAACTAATTTGCCTATATAAAACGCCGCCCAATGATCATAATAGTATTATTGATATGTAATAATATCAAACTTACTGAAAGTGTTTTACTATTAATAATTCATACCACCGCCATTAACATGCACTAGTTATGTCTAGAAGTAGAAATACTGAGAACACTCTTGAAGTCCCCGGCAAAGTAAAATTGTCGAAAAATTTTTACACACAATATATTATATATATTGTATATGTATCGAGTAATCCATGTGAATGTCTGGATAGCCTGGCCAACTATTTAGTTTTATTGTTTAATAACTATTGTAAAAAGTATTTTCTATACTAATATTTTGTTATTAGTTTTATACGTTTCTAGTCCACTCAATCTTTGTAAGTGGATCTCATTAATAATAATTTCCCATAATTGTTTTATGTATCAAGAATCGTTCTATGAAATCGTTATTTGTAATGCAATATTAAATCCTACAAAGTTTGTCACAGACCCTTTTTCCCTGTTTATAGACACTACAAAACAAAATCACACAAGTACTGTTTCTACCGTTCCAGTTATGATGGGAAATAAAGCACCGGAAAATTGCTCGGGCGTATTTGCCCAGCTATTGTTTGCTTATTATTCACGATCGTTTAATTGAATAGGTACATGTTCCGTTGACAATAGGAGTAAACAAAAACTTGTTTAGAAATATTTTGCAAAAACATTTTATTACAATAATTCATTTTCAAAATAAAACAGTTTATTAAAACAATGTTTTTATTTGGACGTAGGTTTTCGTGTGAGTGAGAAATTATTAGAAACATGCAAAATGAAAATAACGATGTAATGAAATTAGTGGCAAGAGGACATCGCGTGAACCGAAGAGAGTAATAGGTACGACGTACGCCCAATATCCATCGAGTTGTATTTGGCGAAAATGGCGAACAGTATTATTTACGATAAAGTAGTCACAAGTGATCTAATTACGATTTTCACACTTACCTACATTGTGTAAAATTTCCCTAAACACGAAATATTTGGGCCCGTACGAGCTATAAATATTTTTAAAAAAAAAGGAACTTTCTTATGGTACYTGTACTACGATACCTAAAGCTGTGTGTGTTCCACATCTTATATAAGAAATATAAAGAATGGAAGTTCATTATTATTTATCTTTTAGGTGATTCCCTAACTCTGGATTATTTTGTAAAATATCCACTTAATTCTAAATTCAGGAAAATACGGAACCCATGCATATGTATATCATTTTACAGTGTTTATAGTACATAAAATGCGCATATACATACCTTCAGATCCGCCCGTAACGAAATAATATATCGTTTTTTAAATAAAAACTATAATCATAAATATCATATAATATATTGACTTTTTATTGTTCCAGTATAGAGGAAATTAATTATTTTATTTTCAAATCGATTGTTTTCAAACCGTTATTAATTTTTTATTTCAATATCTACATTATGTCGGTAAAGGTATATGCAAATATGAAAATATCTAATTTGTATGGTAATACGAGTAGAAAATTAGTATCACCTCGTCTATGAAGTCCATCATGTACACTCTGCCTTATTCCCCTTCATTGAACAGTCTTTCGAAGTGGTATCAACATATTATATAATTACAACTATTATAGTACAATAGAAACAATTTCAACTGGCAGAAAATCGATAGGCTTTTGATTTCATATGTTATATTTTACTTAAAACTATCTTGTGCAAAAAAGAAAAAAATCATCAGGTACTTATACATTTTATTGATTTTATTGAAGGCTATTCAATATTGAATTAGAAGTTGCATTATGGTCTGTAGATGACACACTCTTGAAGTTTTGACTAGATAAGATAAGATATTATTTGAAATTTAAGTTTGGTGTACATATATATAGACGTGTGCTCATTCCTGTCTCGAGGTCTAAAAACAGCCTTGATAGGGTTCTTTCATTAGTCTGTTTGCCATTTCATGGAAAAATTTGAGGTCCTGCAGTTATCAATAAAATCGTAAGTGTTAATAATATACATTATGTATTATATATTTATATACAAATATATATATTTCTGTTCCGCAAGCTCATATAACTCCAAAAACTTAGCTTTCCAGGAAACCAAAAAAAAAATTTTTTTAACACTTAATGATTAGTCTGTAGAGTAAAATGAATAGTTTTTAAGCGTTAAAAATATGGTATGTAGTTATATTTTTGACAAAAACATAGTTGAACACAAAAACAAGTTTTTGATGATTTTTTATTGATTTAACGGAATAGTATCGTATTGGCTTATATGAATCAGAAAAAGAATAGAAATAAGTACACTTAATTTGTATTTGTAGAAATTACTACCAAATGTTTTCTCATATTATTGCTGTATAAAGACTAGGATTTTGGTCTAGTATTTGGACTTGGTGCTAATTTTTTTCTAMGTATCTAAATGATTTTATGTAAATACGGAATTCTTTGTTATTTTTAAATCTATCTGCATGAATTTATTTCGAAGAAATAAGCTGCTTTTGAACGGCAAAAATAAATGTTGCTGGTCATGACGAAATCTGACGAATCACTCCATTTTTTTATTTTTTTTTTATGAATAGTGTTAATGTTTATATCCCTACTGTAATAAATGCAGCAAGTATTGTGGAGTAAATATTTTCATTGCGTTTAAGATTATACTTTATTTATTATATTTAGACAATAATCGTATCTTAATTAAGGCTCTATTTAGTCATAATGAAAAGTATTCAGCTCACTTTCAATCATAATGTAAGAGTAATTTACGTGTACATTATTAATTTGACGAGAATAGCTTACTTTAAGATTGTTTATATTCATTTTAGTCATTGTATTTAAGTTAAAGTATAATCTTAAACGCAATGAAAAGTATTCAGCTCACTTTCAATCATAATGTAAGAGTAATTTACGTGTACATTATTAATTTGACGAGAATAGCTTACTTTAAGATTGTTTATATTCATTTTAGTCATTGTATTTAAGTTAAAGTCGTTTATTTTGACTTGTAAGTCTGATCGTGGCAAGTGTATTCCTATTTTTTTGGCATGTTCGTTCATTTTTCGTTTTAAATTTCTGCCGTATTTGTAATAATCGAAAACACAACTTTCCCCGAATTCCAGTTCTCTGAATTTTATGCCCATTCGTTCAACTTCTGACGGAATATTGTTGCACTGAACTTTTTCAAATTCATTGACATACGACCCTGGATAGTGTTTTTTCGGCTTTTATTTTACAAAAATTCAATTGGTTATTTTTATATATTCTTTTTCAATATACATTCGAAAACAATTGGTGATATGATAAGTGATATGATAAAAGTCTTACCTTTTCTTTGTTTAATTTATCTAATCTTTCTGTYTTTAGCCTTTGGGCAACGACGGGATGATTTAGGACAAATTTATTTGCTGTTAACGGATTCATTATGTTTTTTAACACTAATTCAAGTTCAAATTCTTTTTGTTGTTTCTATAATAATGTAAATTTAAGTATAAATGTATTTATATATTTGGGTAAATTCTTAAGTAAATAATATATTATATTATGATCATAGCCAAACTTATATTTATAATTTACCATCATTTCCTTCAATTGTTTCATCATCTCCCGCATATAGTTATTTTTTATTTCTGAACCGAATTGTGTCATGCTATTTCCATTTTTGATTTTTACTATGCCATTTGGAACTATATTCGATAAATAGCGGTCTAATTCTCCATACCTATTAAAATATTGTTAGAATAGTTCTCGGTTTAGATTCTGAACGAAGTGATGAATGTATTGATTTTACAATGATGTGTGTTTTTTTTTTTTTTGTATCTGTGTACAGCATAACTTGTCGAAATAATGCTTCGATTTCAAACTTTGGGGGTGGTTTCCGATGTAAAACTGAAGATCCTTGGTGCATTATAGAGGTCATAAGTAAACATTTTCCAACAGTTTTCAAAAAAATCGAGAAAAACAAAAAAAAATGACAGAAAAACGGTAATTTTTACGCAAAACCAGTTTTCGACCAAACTGATATTTTTATATGCTTGTAATTCAAAAAATAATCACTGTAA